GCCTCCCTGCCTTCCACCGACCGGCCTTAAACATTTTCCGCTGGAGGGGGCAGGACCCCTGGAATGCCGCATGGGACAGCCATGGGTGGACTGTCGCTGAAGTTGCTGCTCTGTGGGAGGTGGGCTCAGGGGCTGTGGGGGCACATTTGGGGGGTAGAACACTGTTTTCTCTTTGCAGCTGACCTAGGGGGTCAGCAGGAGGCGCCGGCAGAGCCCAGTGAGGCCTGACCATTGATGTGCTTGGGCGGGGGGGTCAGACTGAGGGCTGCTTCCTGCTCACGGAGGACAGAGTGAGCCCCCACCCAAGGTGCATAGGGGTATCTGTCACATGGGGTTTCTGGCCATTAACCCAGTCAGATGCCCACAGAGCCAGGTTGCCTGTGACTGTGGCAAACAAGCCAGACTCCTGTGCATGACAGATAATCCCAGAAGTTGCAGCTGCTCTCAGAACGACCCTCTTGTCTCCAAAGGCTGTAGGGCCTGGGCAGAGGGCCTTCCAAGCCTCCAGCAGGCAAATGCCCTGGGCTTCCCTGCTGGCTGTTGAGGACCATGCAGCCAGTAGTGAGATGCCTTCCCTCCACACGCTGGTGCTGATGGAGACCCCCCATGTGCCTGTCCGAGTGAGTCAGACTGGCTGGTGCTGCCAGGAGTACAGAAGGGGTTCATTGCACCTGCAGTCTCCTGGGCCTTCTGCCCTTGGCCCACCCCCCAGCCTGTCCCCCCAGAGCTCAGGCTGCAGGAGCTCAGGCTGAAACAGCTCAGTCCTTTCTGGGCAGCAGAGTCTGTCTCAGGAAGCCGCTGCTGGCCAGGAGGGACCACTGAGCCAGTGCCCCGGGGGTTGGTGCTGCCCCCCCTTCCCCCATGGTGACCTGGATTTGGTGAGAGAAGCTGCAGAGAAGAGAGGCAAGGTAATAAATAAACCTTTGGACATCTCCATGGCTTTGATGGAAGAAGAAAGGGTGCCCCTCGCCCCAGCCTTCAAAGCTCTCCAGAGGACGCATTCCAGTGCATCCTGAGAAGACTCGCCTCCTGAACCCCCACAGCAGACACGGAAAGAGCCGCCCACACTCAGCCTGCCTCCTCTGTGCCGCCCACGCTCAGCCGGCCTCCTCTGTGCACCGCGCACTGAGCAGTACTAGGCCAAGTAAACAGGCCGGGAGCCAGGATTGGACCCAAAGTCGCCACAGTCTGTCCTCCCACTGTGTCCTGGCACCTTCTCTTGGGAGGTGTCCCTTGTGCCCCTCTGTGCACAGTGCATGGGGTCAGAGATCCCCATCATCCTGTAACCGAGGCCTCAGGTGAAGTGGCATGTCGCCTTGTCCTGCTTTTGAGCATCCAGCAGGAAGGTTCAGGGGGCTCCTCAGACTTCTCGCCACTCTGGAGAGACAGGTGCTGCCTTCAGGTGTGCTCTCAGAACAGGAGGCCAGTGCCCAGGGCCTGAGCCCTGGAGCAGGCATGACCTGTTCCTGAGAACACACCAGGTCCAGACTTTGACTCCACACACACTCGGCTTGGCCAGCGTTGAAGGTTTTAAATCTACATCAGGGACACATGACTCTGCCTGTTAAAGCGATATGTAGTCAGGTGGCATCCCGAAAGCCATTTTGTGCAAGGCGAGGGAGGAGCCAGGCTGTGTGTCACCTGGGCAGGCTTGCTGAAGGAGCCTGGAGAGCCAGGACAGCGAGGACATGAGCAGCCCCAGTGAGGGACAGCAGGCACCAGGCCCAGGACATGTACAAACCTCCAGAGACACAGGAGTTGGCCACTTACAACTGACTGTTCAATGAGGTCAAGAAATAGAAGCCTATGGACCCCCCAGGAGCTCCTGGAATGTCGCTCCCCAGTGTCACCTGAGAAAATCCAAATAGCCCATGAATGTATGAAAAGATGTTTGACGTCATTATAATAGGGGATAGAAAATACTCCCACTGTGAATACCTCTCCAGGTTGGCAAGACCCAAAAAGCTGGACGGCGGCCTGCCCTCCCTGCTGGAAGAACGAAGGGGCCAGTCTTTGGAAAAAACTTGGCTTTCATTGTGAAGTGGAGGCTGCCACAGCCTGTGTCCCAGCAGTTTTACTCTGGCGTGTGCCCTGTGGATGCCAACACGTGGGAGAGCTCTGCTGGAAACCCCCAGGGCACATGGTTAGGGGCTGGCACCACCCAGCAACGCCCTGGGGGTTGCAGCCCAGGTGGTCTCTGGTCACCTGCAGGCACCACCACGTACAAGCAGAGGATAGGGTTTTGGGATCAGGCAGAGCAGCCAGTCAGGCAGGACAGTGGCTGCCAGAGGGGCAGATGCCAGCCATCGAGAGGCAGGTGGTGCCATTGTCCGTCAGGGACATTGGGGCGGAGAGAACGAAGGCAGGCTTGGACAGAAGATGGCGTACCAGTTTGGGCATTGGGGACAGGGTGTCTCCTGGTCCCCAGACTCTGTTGAGGGGTAAGGAGCTTTCTTATCCTTCCCCAGTTCAGCAAGAACCTCCCAGCATTTGTGGGCTGAGTACTGAGCTTTAGGATTTGAAGGCAGATGGGGACCTTGTCACTGGGAATGCCCTAGGAAGGAGGGACATTCCTGCTGTGCCCTAGAGGGTACATGTGAAGTCTGTAAAGAAACGAGCTCAGAGAAGCAGGCAGCTGGAGAACCAAGGGGGAGTGATAGTTAAGAGTGGGAGAGGCTCTTTAGGGTAAGTAGGCAGACCCCCAGCGGGGCACCGTGCAGAGCTCCCCAGGCCTGGGGGTCTGGCAACTAGAGGGACCTCAGCAGGCATGGGGACTGTTGACAAACCTCAGCAGTGACTGGGTTTTGTGTTGGCAGGCCCCATTCCAAGGTTAAAAAAGTAATTGGTTATAAGAGAGTACATTTAAAATGCCCAAAAGGACCCCTGGGTCCCCATGGAACCCTGGCTCATGTCTGTGTCTGTGTCTTTGAGACACAGAAGCCCCTGAATGGGCACTTTTTTGCAGCCAGAAAACAGCCCTGGGTGGGAAGCCAGCCCTGCCCAGGGTCCCAGGGACTGATCAACAACGGGCTGTCCTGGGGAGCAGCCTGCCCTGGGGAGTCACCTCCACCTGTCTTCCTGCACCCCTCCTCTCAGCCTGGAAGGGTTGACTTTGTGTCTGCGCAGTCGCAGGGTGGGGACCACTCTTTCCTGCCCCACAAGGAACAGGACTTAGGTGGTCCCACCCTCACACCTACCCCATGGCCCACTCAAGCACTGCCTTGCTGAGGGATGGTGAGGGGTGAGGCACAAGACCCAGTGGGGCCCAAGGATCAGGACCCCTCAGCATGCGGGAGACCTCCTCTCAGGCGAGCCAGCAGCGCCCCTGGGCTGTCCTGGCCTAGGCTTCCAACTGTTCCCCCTTCCTGTTGCAACAGCAGAGTGTCGGGGGCCTAGCCACAGGGAAGCAATGACTCGAATCCATGGATGTCACTTCATAAAATCATGCAGACAAGCCCCCGATTAGCTGCTCCCACTATGAATAGGTGCAGGGACTATAGGGCAGGGGGTGGGCAGGGCCTGGACCTGAGCAGGAGGCAGAGCAGTGGGCAAAGAGATGCCCCGTGGGCACAACTGGCCTGGGCTCCCCTCTCTTGACAGCACACTCAGTCACCAGCTATGTGAGCCGTTGGGTGTGCTGGCCACACGGGCACACTAGTGGATGTGCACAGGGCCCTGTGGGGGGCTGGCACAGACTCACACACGGATTAGCCTCGTTCTCCTAAAGCACAAACCCACGTGGCCTTTGGATAGTGTATTAGTGTGTGCGTCTTGTGTAGATGTGTGTGTAAGTGGGTGCTATTGCGTGTCCCTCAATTGTGCTGTTGGACCCGCACATTAGCCCTGTGTTAATGGCTCCTGGTGCATAGAAGTGCCTTCCTAGGCATCGACTCCATCCTCAGTTCCCACGTCTCTCTCTTCTGCTCACAGCCTAAAACAGCTAGCATCTCTGTGTCCCCGAGCTGTGGGTGATGATCTGTGGGTCAGTGATGTCTCAGCAAGTGGGTGACCAGCTCGTGGGACTGCAGGGACAAAGGCCCAGGTCCCGGCCACAGGTGCAAACACCTGCCCCTGGCAGCACCTAATCATCTCACCAAATGTTCTGTGTCTTCTGACATCCCAGAAACATGAGGTGGCTTCTGTTGGCTTTTGTTAAAGAAAGCCTCACCTAAAACCTTGTTCCTGACATAAAATGAAATTGCCATGCGTTGTCTGCCTCCCCAGAATTAGTCTCAATGCTGGGGGCCGGTCCTCCTGGGGAGGGAGGCCTGTGCCCACAGCCATGTCAGCGAGGCCTGTGTTGGCAGGAGAATGTGTCCCTGGCCGACATCCTGTCCCTGCGGGACAGTGGCCTCAGCGAGCAAGAGGCCTGGGCCGTGTGCCTGGAGTGCAGCTTGTCCATGAGGAGCGTCGCCCACTCGGCCATCTTCCAGACCCTCTGCATCACTCCAGACACCCTGGCCTTCAACACCAGCGGGAACGTGTGCTTCATGGAGCAGCTCAGCGGTGAGGCCCAGTGAGGAGCAGGTGCAGAGCTGATGCAGGGGCCCCTCCCTTGGCTAGGGACAGTCACACCGCCCAGGTTTCCATGGTAGCCTGATGGCATCTCCAGCCCTGTGGTCTCAGGCCCTGCTGGTGGGTGCTGGTATCTGCAGCTCCATCACAGCCCCTCAAAGGACCAGGGGGAGGCCCCACAAGCCCTGAGAGCAGCTAGGATGGGCCTGGCACCTCAGCCGGCCCCCTGGGTCTGGCTGACCCTGCAGCCAATGGGTACAGGGCCGCCCCTACCCCAGGGTGGGTCTGAGTGGAGAGGCCTGGTGCCATCAGCTCTCTCCTCTGGGAAGACAGCACCCTTTTCTTCCTCTTTGGAACCATGTTCCCACACTTGCAGGGAAGGAGGTGGTTTCCCTTTCTTCAGGGACCAGGACAGGGAAGGGGCAGGAGGCAGAACTGCCCTGGGAGAGCTCAGGGCTGGAGTCTGTTCCTCACCCCAAGCCGTCTCCTGGCCGGCCTGTGATCACAGCATCTTCTCTTTCCTTCCCCAGATGACCCCGAGGGTGCCTTTGTTCCCCCGGAGTTCGATGTGACTGGGAACACTTTTGAGGTAAGTGGCTGCGTGTGGTTAACAGGGAAAGCGCTTCAGTGGAGACTGTGTGCCAGGGGCGGTCCTGCTTGGCTAGCTTTGGGCACACCCACCCTGTCATTCCCTCTGGCAGCTCGGCTCCAGTGACAGCTTGGTGTGCAGACACATGGTTGTCATTACAGTTTGTGTGTTTTCTAGAGTGTGAATTTTCTATATTTAACATGTTAAAAGTGCCTAAAATTACTAGTGGTGGCTGGCGGGAACTGGCATGTCTGTGAGGACTCGCAGATGGGTCACAGCCTCTGGATAATAATTCACAAGTGTTAGGCAGCCACAGCGACTCACTCTAGGGGTCACACATGGCTTCAGCCACCAAGGCCTCTGGGAGGCCCCTCCTCAGCGGAGTGGACCCTGAATCCCCTCAGTGCATGGCCGCAGGGCTCCCTCTGCACATGGCCCTGCAGCACCACAGGGGGCACTGTCTGTCTATCCACTCAGCACTGTCTGTCCACCGAGTCCCATGCTGGGCTCTGGCCCACGGTGGAGAATGGCCATAGAAACCAATATTCGTGGTTTCTCTCTTCAAGGTGCCCACAGTCTCCTAAGATGGTGGAGAAAAAATAAATTCATCGTTAATAAAGAAATGAGGAATTACAAACTCAAAAATCTTCCCAGTAAAAGCCTCATTAGCTTAGTGACATGAGTTTAAATTTTTACCCCAAGTAAGAGTTTAGGATTGGCCCCTCCTATACTTAATTTTACTTTAAAAGAAGCCAGTCTCAGACCCCTGGCCCTCAGAGGCTGCACCCCAGCTCCGTGGACCACAGGACCCGGGCCCATGAGTCTCCGGTAGACCCCACTGTCAGGTCTTAGGGATTTGGGGGCCTCATGGGTCAGAACTCTTCGGTGTATACAGTTCCCATTACTGGCCCGTGCACGGACTTCTTTATTTTTTCATTGCATTTTTGGTGAGGGAACCGAGCTGCAACAGAAATGCCCTGGAACCAGTCCTGTCCTGTGTTCCTCCCATCCCCTTCCCCACCCCTGCCCACGGTGACCAGCACCCAGCACTGCCCCCTGAGTTCCTTTTGTCTTCATCTCACAAGTATGGAGCCCTGAAGTCATTGTTATTTCACTTGTGCTGTTTTTAACTTTATAAAATGTTATCCTGCTGCATGGAATGTTCTGGAACTTCCTTTTATGGTTTTGCTGAGACTCATTCACGTGATCCTGGGCAAAACAGCAAAGCTAGCCTGCCACCCATGGGAGCCCGAGGTGCCCTGGCCCTGCCGGGGTCAGGCTGCCCTGCAGGCTCTTGGATCCTGGGCACGAAGGGGTGGTGGGCTCACCTTGTGTCCACAGGGAGCCCAAGTGGCAGAGGACACCACTGAATACTGTGTGAGGTGGGGACAGGATTGTGCTGTCTGAGGTGACGAGTTTGTGAGCCTGACATCTAAACAACTTCAGTGAGAAATGATAGAATCAAAGACTTTAGGGGCTGAAAACAAGATACAACCCAAAAATAAATAGCTTCTGCCTGTGTTAGTAGTTACCAGTCAGAGATGGAAAATGTTCGGTTTATAATGGCAACTACCCTGGAAAGCCCGCGAGTAAAGACAGCAGGCGGGCTGGAGAGGTGGGGTGAGAAGACAAGCACACAGACCCTGTGCCCTCACCACGCTGCTTCCCAGCTTTGCTGAGACGTAACGACACAGCATCGTGTGAGTTTAAGGTGCACGGCCTCGTTTGCCCTGTGCAGTGATACCACTAGCAGGCTGTTAACACCTTCATCTCCTACTCGCCCTTTCTCTTGGTCTTGAGAACATTTCAGACCTCCTGTCTCAGCAACTTTGGAGTATTCAGTGCAGTGTTGTTCACTAGCGACTGTCCTACGTATGACATGCAAAGGACCGATTCCTCTTGTCACTTGAACTTTGTACCCTTGACCAGCGTCTCTCCATTTCCCCACCCCAGCTCCAGGCTACCTCCCTTCTACTCTGGGTCAGTGAGTTTAACTTTTTTCAAAGTCCACATCTAGGGGTATCATACTGTCTTTCTCTGTCTAACTTATGTCACTTAGCAGAATGCCCTCAGGGCCATCCTTTCTTGGGCTGAGTAATATCCCAGTGTGTACAGATACCACTCGATCTTTGTCCATTCACCCAAAGACAGGTACTGAGGTTGTCTCCACTTCTTGGCTATTGTGAATAATGCTGCCCCATGACACTAATGGGCTCTGGTGCCACAGGCTCACATCTACTCTCTGGGGGCCACGCTGAAGGCTGCACTCGAGTATGTGGCAGAGCCAGGGCTGGAGCCCAAGCTGAGCCGAGATCTGGAGGTGCTGCTGGACCAGATGCAGGCTGAGGACCCCAGGGCCCGGCCAGACCTTGAGGTAACTTGCGGGCTTTCCCCTCATTTCACCCCAGAGGCTGCGCCCCAACACCCTCCATGTGGCCTGATGCCTTGGAGCCACATGCACGCACTCTCACAAATGCACACTGCACACACACGGGGCCCTCCTGTCCTGCCCCGTCACATGAGCTCCTCCCTGGGATTTAGTGGCATTGAATTTTATTTAAATAAGTTGATTTTTTGCCCTGGCCGGTGTGGCTCAGCTGGTTGGCGTGTCATCCTGTACACAAAAATGTGGCAGGTTCGATTCCTGGTCAGGGCATGTATTGGGGTTGTGGGTTTGATCCCCAGTTGGAAAATCAATAAGCAAATGTGCATTTGCGTCTAAGAGAAAAAAAAAAGCTTGGTTTTTTAACACATTTTGTGAAGAGGTTTGTCTTGAAGTTCTCATGGGCTGAACAGTGTCCTGAATATCTGTCATCCTGGACACGTTGCTTTTTGATACCAGAAAAGGGGCACGGAGGGCGGGCGGGTGGACATCTGACTCGCGTGTGTGTGCAGAGCATCATCGCACTGTGTGAGGAGAAGATGCAGCTCATGTCCTCCTGGCGCCTGTGCCGCAGCCTCTCGGCCGTCGGGAGGAGGGTGCTCTCCATCGAGTCCTTCGGGGCGTTCCAAGGTGAGCATGCCACACGCATGCGCGTGCTTGCATACGCACACGCTCCCAGGCGCGCATATGTTCACACGCACACGTGTATGCATGACTATGCAAAACATTAACACTGATCACACGTTCACACCGGGTACTCACACTCCACATAAACACCCACATTCGCATGCACACACATTCCGTCACACACATGAACATACACGTGCAAACCCATACACACCCATTTATACTGCACACTCATGCACAAGCACTGTTCACCCACTCACACGCACAACGTACGCAAATGTGCACACACACATGCAACAGACTCGCTCTGTGCAGACACCATGCTGGTAGAGGTGAGAAGCAAGGTCATGCTGAGAAACAGCTGAGCTTGGAGTGGGATGCCTGTCTCGGTCCCATGAGCATTTCAGCAGTGGGACGGGGTGAGACCATTTCCGGTCCCCACACCACACCTCGTCGGAGGACACATCACTTCCTGCCGCCGTGCAAGCTGTTGCTGTAGCGTCTGGGTTTCCACGGCTCATGTGAGATGCTAGTGTCAGATGGAGTTTTGAACAAATGCCAGCGTCTGCTCTGCCCTGTGCCTGCGGGGGAGGGGCGCGTGGCATCCTGCAGGTGACGGCTGTGACGCTGCAGCACCAGGTGCTGCTGGGTGGCTCTAACAGAGCCAAGGAAAGAGTCCCCTCGGGAGGGGCCGTGTGTGGGGCAGTTCACAGGGAGACGGGCGCGTGGAGGCTGCCGCCAGGGCGGGTGGGGCCTCGGCCACAGTCTTTTCTCTCTGGAGAGTCTCACTTGCGTTCCCAAGCAGAGCTTGATGTGCTTTCTGGGCGAGATAATTAGGCGCCCCTCTGGGAAGCTGGCCTGGCCCAGGGGATCCGGCAACCTGTTAATTAGTTGGGATTATGTAATTAACGAGGCATCGAGGATGTTTCTGGGCCAGTTCTGAGGGAAAAGGCAGCTGGTTGGGGGTGGCCGTCCAGGGCCGGGTCCCTGGCCAGAGGCAGTGCTCTGTCCTGCTTTTGCCCAGATGTCAGCGAGAGTGCCTGGAGGGGGAGACTTGCTCCAAGAAGTGTGGGGCCCAAGAGGCAGCCTGGGGACCACGGCGCTGACCTAGAGGCCCTACCCGCCCCTCAGGGCCGGCCCAAGACCCCCGCCTGCGACCCCAGGACCCTACTCTCCAAGCCTCTGCTGTCACCCCCTGTGAAAAACGGAGAAAGCCACAGCCGGGAGGGGCTGGCCAGCCTCTTCCTGGACACCCAGCGCCCCGCAGAGAGGGGCCGCCTGAGGAAAGTACAGACGGTGCCCCGGCTCCTGCCCGAGGGCCTCGAGGCCAGTGCCCTCTGCCTGCCGCAGGCCAGCGTGAAAAACCAGTTGCCCACATCTGAATTCTTCCCTGCAGGCCCCAGGAAGGCTTTTCCTGAGAGGAAAAATGGCCTTTCCAGCTTCAGAGCCCAGCCCAAGTCCAGACTGTGGCCGGAGCAGGAGCCTGAGCTCCAGGGGGAAGGGGCTCCGGGTGTGGGGGACGGGGACGGGGCGGCTGGGGTGCCTGACCAGAACCCTGTGGAGAAACACCACCCACCCTCTTCTGAGAACCCTCAAGATGCAGGCGGAGACCCAGGGACTTTGGGGGCCGATGAGCAGATTCCTGAAGGAGCCGGAGAGCCAGGAAGTGCAGCCTCAGAGCAGGTGGGTGAGGGTGTGTTCTGTGTGGCCCATGGCCGGGGAGGGTGTCCCTGCCTGGCGCTGCCCCTTCATCAGCAGTGAGGGACAGGGGACTCTGTTAGAACCGTGTTCTGGGAGTTTGGGGTGTGCTTATCCCCACGGGCACTCTGAGTGGCCCTTTGTGGCCAAGGACACAGGGCAGAGCCCAGCCTAATACACTGTCCTGCTTGGCTCCCAGCAAGTCGCTCCCTGAAGTTCTGTGTCCCTGTGAACTCCTGGGACGAAGCCACCTGGAAGACCGGTGGCCCAAACCCAGTGTGTCCAAGGGCAGCACCGGGCCTGGCACAGTGGCCGACGGGGTGGCACGGAAACCCTCATTTCCCACTAGGCTTTGTTGACCCAAGGACCAGGGGGAGGAGCCTGCAGTTTACGTTTTTATTCACATCCTGACAGCCCCGAGGGTGATTCACGTGACAGGCATGGTGGCTGAAAGACCAAGTCCACCCTGGACTCGCTCGCCTGCCCTGCCCGGCTGCCCCACCGAGCGCAGCGGCCCCCTTACCTTTTTTAGATCCATCAGCATCTGCCGCTGCTGTTGCTTTCGCCCCGTAGCTGTTGTGAATGACGCTGCTGTGAACTTGGGGGTGCAAATACCTGTTTCAGAGGCAGCTCTCAGTTCTTTGGGGGACGCACCCAGAAGTGGAGTGCCAGGTCCTATGGCAGCTCTGTGTTTAGTGCTTTCAGCCGCCCCATACCATGTTCCATGCGGCTGCTCCCAGTGCACGGGGCTGCACCTCTCCACAGCCTCCCAGCACCTGCTATTTTGACCTGGGGACGTTTCCCAGCTCATCTGTCAGGAGAGGGTCTCATGGGAGGCACATCCCACCGTGTTTGAAGTGGTTCTCACCCTGTCGCCTCCCCCAGGGTGTCTCCCTGCAGGACCTCCTGTCGAAGCTGGGCCGGCCCTTCAAGGAGTATGAATTATGGGCTCTGTCCCACGCCTGCCTCAGCGCTCTGGGCACCCACCGCTGGCACCCAGGTGATACTTGCTCTGAGGTTCCTTGTTCACCTATGTGGGCCGTAAACGGCAATGTCCACACAGCCAGGGGCACCCTAGGGGGTGTCTGCTCCAGACTCAGGACCCAGGGAGTCAGGGGACAGCAGCGGGCAGATGCTTAACTGTGGGCCTTAAAGCAGGTGACCCAGCTGGCCCACACCCTCTCAACAGGGAGACATGTCCCCAAGGAGGGAAATTACCTGCGGGAGATCTTGGACATTACACTGCTTTGTGGCCCCCAAATTCAGCCCTGTGGGACAGTGGGACAGGTCTGCAGCCCCTCTGCAGAATCAGCACTTCCTGGGGAGGACAAAAGCTGTCATCTGGCTGCCCTCAAGTCCCAGGATCTGCAGGCCTTTGGAGTCCAGTCAGGCTGGGCCCCCAGCCTCCTGCAGGACCCCTCCAAGGGGCACAGGGTGTGGGCCATGTCCCCCCATCACCCTCCTCTTCCTTCAGCTCCTTTTTGTTTCCAGCTTCCCCCTTGCTGCATCTAGTGAGAGACCCAGTGTCCTTGCATCTCCTGGGTGACCCAGGGGGCCTTGGGGTGGTAAGGGAGCTGCCCAACCCAACCACATTTCTGAGGCTTCTTGGGAGCAGGTCTCTGCAGTGAGCCCGGCTACCCTGACCTCACTTTCTGTTGCAGCCTACCTGTGTCCAGACTCCGTGCTGGTGGCAGAGGATGGGGCTGTGCTTTTCGGGCCACCCCCTGCCAATGGTGGGTACATGGGCGGTCATGGACTCACCCTCTTGCTGTGTTCCCACATAGACCACCAACCACCGAGGTGGAAAGGAGGGCTCAGCTACATTTGGGATTTTCTCTCTTAGGCGTTTCCAACTCGTTCTTTCTGGCCCCCGAGGTTGCAGAGCAGAAGCTGGTGACTGAAAAGGTACCTGGCCCCACCCCCTTCCCCTGGCCTTCTGCCCA